CTAGGTTCATGAGTCAGCCAGAGTGTCATGTTGTGGTTTAGGACTTGAAGGGGAATTCTTCCTGAAGAAAGCAGGAGAAGAGGTGCTGACTGTTAGTCACCTCAAGCAAAGTGGTATGTCTGAGTGTGATCAAAACCCTGAGGTAAAGTATCAGCTGGTGCAGCCATAGTGGATCACTTTGACAGCCTTAACAGAAAAAATGGGATGTGTGAGCAGGGTGGTTTTAACTGAAAATAAATGTGAGACTGGCAGTGTTTGTGGGGATGTGGGTTGTGAGTATCAAGTTTGTGGTTGGCTGAATGTTTGTTCTGCTGCATGTGGACAAGTAAGAATGGTTGATGGCACTGATGCCTTTGCATAGCAATAGCTTACACAGGCAAAAACTGCAAAATTCTAGGCTGTGGAGTAGGAATTCCAGAAGAAAAATTAACATTTTCTTAGCCTTATTAGAAGATGCGTTTCCTTAATAAGAAATATGCTGAATTTCCTCTGTAATTGTCCTGGTGCATGGGCAGCAGTGGCTATGTGAGGCATTCAGTTATGTTTTACAGACTTTTTTTTGCATTCATTCTTCTCACTTTCCATGTTTTCTTTTTTTTTGCCCCCTTTGCCACCTCTCCTGCCATGCTCCTGCTCTTGGTGTCTTGCTTGCTTGTGCATTTATTTCAGTGGCTCAAGAGAAAGGACAGCTTGGGAGGGAGCGAAATGCTGATAACATTCTCAGGGATTTGAAGGAGATTTTTACTCCCTCCTGGGAACTGGCTTCCCCTTCTGAAGGTAATGCAGCACAGCCTGAGCAAAGCTGTCTGCTTGGTTTTAGTAGGCTTCCTTCTTAGCTGGGCTTTGCAAACTGCAAACTAGGGTTGTGCCAGTTACAACTTGTGCTGTTGAACATGAAGACAAAAAACCAAGTGCAGCATCTTGAGGTGAACTTGAATCTCTAAACCAATTTGCTTTTTGGTAGGGAGTGTGTAGGAATGAAACTGAAGCTTTTCTGAGCTCCACCTTAGTGTGACTGCTGAAGTTCCAAAAAACCAAGAATTTTGGTAGAACTAGCTAAATCTTGTGCTGCTGTTATCCCAAGTTGCTGTTATAAATCTGATTATAAGTTGAAACTACTTCATTTTAACAGCTGACACTTCAAGAACTTTGGCATTTTCAAAACCTCTCCAGATGTTTGTTACATTAATCAAGAAGACAATTCCATATCCAGAGAGGACATACTGTTTTTTTAAAAGGACACCCAAATGCAGACTGCTCAAAGAGGTCATCTTCTGTTGGCTGTTTGCAATTCTGACCTGTTCTGCTGACTAAAGGAGTTTGGAGGTGTAGCAGTCTTTGTTTTGCAAATGACACGAAGGTGATGAATGTCTGTGTGCAATAGAGCTCAGGACAAACCCTTTTTTATGCTCTTTGCTTGGACTCAGCTCCATGACCATGGCACAACCATAGTGAATCACTGGAGTGCTCATGTTCTGCTGTGACCATTAGCATTTCTCTAGAGTGCCTTGAGAAGGATTTTAGTAGTGTTTACTCTTCGTGAAGCTGATCCTTTCTTAACTCTTCCCATGCTCATTTTCGCACATTTCCTCCACTGGATTCTTTTTTAACTTGGAATTTCTTTTCTGTAATCGGCTTCTTTTTTAGTTAGGTGTAATTCTTTTAGAATGCATGGCAAACCTGAAAATATTTTGTTGCTGGAAGTACATTTGTTCCTTAGTAATCAGTGCATATTGTACAGATGAATTTTCCTTAAATCAGGATTTCAGCTCAGAGGTTAATGAAGCATTTCTGTGTGACTACAAGTTCTTGGTGTGACTCAGTAGAGAAGTTCACTCTAGCATTCAATCAGTGCCTACAGCAATGTGACTCAGTTGACTACATCTCTCTAGTGACTAAAAAAATAATGTATTTTAAATTTGGGACTGAAAAAATCCTATTCCTTATGGTCAACCAGCAGAATGAGGCTCATTAGTTTTATACTAGAGTGAACTCGGTGTTGAAGTAAGTAAATAAATCTTCATCTGTACTTTGAAATAAGGTCAGTAATTAATCATGGAAGAAAAATCTTATCATTCTGCTCTTTTGAAAGCAAACCTGCTTTCTTTGTTCATTATTTCTAGATTGTGCTTTCTGCTTACTGCTTCTCTGATACGAAATGTGGCAAATTTAGTTCAGCATGTAGTAGTGGGCACCATTCAGCTTGGATATATTTGTGTTGTACTGCTGTGAGCCTTAGGTGCACAGACAATGGGAGGAAATCCCCTCTGGTAAAATTGTCCTTGTGTAACTAGAAAAGAATTTGATTTGCCCTTTCTATCGGAGTTGCTACAGTTGGAATTTAAATATTTGCAAAACCTTTTCTGTTCTTATCACTCAAATCCCACATTGGTTCTAATGGTACCTGACCAAATGATTGTCCAGAGAAGGTTGTGCTCAAGTGTGGAGTGTTGTGCTTTGGGCAGGTGATCAGTGTGTGTTAGCCACAGCTTTGAGTTTCCTATACTGCTGAATCTTTCTAAAAGCAACTAACAAATATACAAACAAAAAGAAGTTGCCTCAAGTCTAAATTAAACAACTTAAACATGTAAATCCCATTTCTTTCCCTTTGTTTTGGAGTTCTGCATGTGCTTGTCAGAACAAGGATTATTTTTTTTGTGGTGCATGTTAGTATTTTCAGATTGAAAGCTATGTTTGTATCGTGTTGACCATGAATATTTTCATGTTTTCTGTCTCTCTGCTGCTTGCTTTTCACCATGTTCATTTACATCATCTGTTCACTCCTTCCATTTTGAACAGTGTTGGCTGGCAAGCTGAAAGGTGGGTGGACTCAACGTGGTTAGTGAAGGTATTGGAGCAGCACAGTTAACTTGCAGCTTGGAAAATCAGCTGTGTTTGTGTGGCAAAAAACCAAAACCCTGTGGTTGCAGCTATCTAAACTTGCATCCAGTGCTGTGTGCAGTCTGTTCCTGCCTCCTCCTTGAGTGTCAAGAGTTGTTCCCTGAGGGAATGTGGTGCTTCTGCTCTTGCTGAAACATGGAGTGGCCAAGTCCTGGTTTGCACTGCAGGTGTGGCTCTGTGGCCCCTGTGCTGCTGTGTTTGCACCATCCTCATCCTCACATTCCATGTCTTCTGCTGCTGCTCCTGGTGGGGAAAATAACCCCACAAGCATCACTGATTTGTGACTAGAACTGCCCCAAACCTGCTGCTCCCTGAGCTTGTTTGTCAGCCAGTTGTGTTGGTGCAAGCAAAGGAACAGGAATGTAGAGGTGAGAGAGAATGGAAAAGGGATTATTCCATTATCTTAACCTGCTGCAAAATCCCATCTGGAAGCTTTGATGTGATATGGAGTTACTTACCTGGGAATGCAAATGTAAGAAACCCAAAAGCAAACCCATGTTATTGCTAAAGACCCTTAGTGTAAATGGGTGTGTGGCTGTAAATGTTTCACTGCAGTGAAATCCTCTGTTTCCTGGAGTTCTCTTCAATCATATCCAGCATTTCACTGGCAAAGCTTGAGAAGTAAATGCTCGTTCGTCTGCACAATTGCAAAAAAAACCCAACAAAAACCCTGAAATTTTAAAAACACTTCCTGAATTGATCTCTCAGTGTAAAAAGCTAATCTGATGTGCCCAAATTTTCCCAGCAGAGATCCAAGAAGCCAAAGCTCCCAGCCCTTCCATAAACAGGCAGGCTAGCATCGAGACAGATCGAGTGTCCAAGGAGTTCATAGAGTTCCTCAAGACCTATCATAAGCCTGGACAAGACATCTATAAGCAATGCAAACTATTTTTGGACACAATGAATCATAAAAGGGTAAGTCCTGCCTGCCCCTTGCGTAAGTAAAATGGGAAAATTAGGGAGAGATGGAGAAAATGGTGCACTTCTTGCAGCAGGTTGGTTGTTCTGGAGTGTGTACAGGAGCCTTCAGCTGATGGGCTTAGTCAAGTGAAGATCTCGTGGTAGTCTTGAGTTCTTCCTGCTTTGGTTTTTGGTGTGGTGTGTGACCAAAGAAACCCTCCAACCCCAGTGTCTCAGGTATCCAGAGAGCTTTCCTTTTCATCCCAAATAAATGAGTCCTGAATAAATCCCACATGAATTAGTCTGTTGAACAATTTTCTAGATAAATGTGACTTGTGAAAATGATGTTACATGAGGAGTTTTCTGATATCATAGGATGGTTTGGGTTGGAAGGGATTCAAAGATCATCCAATTCCAACTCCCTGCCCACCTTGCACTAGCCCAGATTGTTCCTAGTCCCATCCAACCTGGCCTGGAACACCTCCAGGGATTGGGGATCTTAAGACTAAAAAGTTATAAAGATAATACAGTATCAACCCACACATCTCCTTTCGTTTGGGGAAGGGGAATTTGACTATGCTTTTCCTTTTTTTAATATGGAATGAGGGTTATATCTTCATTTTCCAGAAGGAAATCAATGTTCCTGAAATATTAATCAGTCTGTAGTGCCACCTATGGCTGGAACGAGTCAGTGTCCAGCACAATGTTTTCTTTGCCTCGTCCTGCCTTTCCTGTTTGGATAGTTACTCAAACTATCTCCTCAAATTGAACTATCAAAGGGAGTTCTGATGGAGTCTTACGTTCCCTCTACTTTGAAAACATCTTGAAGCTGTTTTTTTTTCTTTTAGAACTGATTCATTCTGAGCACAGAGTTTGTGAAATGATGTTATTATTGGTTTCAAACACCGAGGGTGCTCTCATTTCCTGCTTCCTTCATAGTTTGTGCTGCTCAGAAAGAAGTCTTTCTCAAAACCTGTGCTTTGCTCTGAGACATGAATCATGTCTAAAATGCAGCACTGGCAGCAGAGCTGAGACACTGTGTTCAGGGCAACTGCCCAGATTTTGGCCTTAGAGGATTCAGAAACTAAGTTCTCTCTCCATTGTTTTAATATATGTTTTTATGCTGCCATTGAATGCTGAAAAGTGACTCGATCAGTAAAGTGAATTTTAACCCTTCAAACCTCTTCAGGAGCTCAGTTGAGCAATGCCCAAAAGACACTGCTGTTTCTCCAATAACACTGTGAATATATTTCATAGTAACTTTGCAATCAGAAATATTTACTGTATAGGTACTCTCTCAAATGATGTTCTTGAGGTTTTGGTAACTGTCTATCATCTCTTAGAGAGGCAAAATCAGGACAAGCATTTTGCTTGGTCTGTGTTACGTTGGCACCATTGCTCAGGGATGTGTCTGGGAAAATGCCATGGCACCTGTCCTGTTCCACTGCTGATCCACATCTGTGCAACAAATACAGCAAGTCCCTCACATTTCAGAGTCGGTCTGTTTTGGGTTCTCATGTTTTTGAATAGAATTTAGCCAGTGTAAACACCTCTGACGATACCTTTGCATTCTCAGACTGTTACTGCAGCTGGACACTTGCCTTAAACCAAAACAGAACATCAGAAGTGTTGCTGCCAGTTCTTCTACACACACTCAATCCATGTTCTGTTACAGGACTTGAGCATTGAGGAGCAGTCTGAATGTGCCCAGGACTTCTACCAAAATGTAGCAGACAAATTACAGACACGTTGGAAAGGTATCCAGCTCTTCTTCCTCATATCTTACTGCTGAAAAAGTAATGGTTTGGGGCTAAAACCTCTTGGATTTTTAAGTAAAAGCAAGTTCATTCTGAACCAGATTTCAGAAATGCTGTTCTCAGATTCTAGTGCCATAGTCAGAACTGTTCCCAGCAGCACCAGTTCTGTAAAGTTTTGCAGTCTAAATTCTTTGGTTTTACAGGTTTATCTCTTCAATCTGGGTCAGTTCTTTTAATTTTTTTGTTTTAAATCCAATGCTGAAGTGGAACCCAGGTAAGAAGCTGTGAGCCTCATGTTACACTGTAGTACACAGGATCTCTTGGGGACTGCTCTTCTATGCCTAGTGTGTAAGTGGCACAGCTTAAACATTCCCAGAGATGTTGTCAGACATGAGCAGGAACAGAGGACTTGGAAGGCCTCACTGGGTTTATTTTCAAAGCCTAGTTTTGAGCAATATCTTTGTAAACTACAAGCAACTGAGCCTGATTTGTGTGTTGAACGTGCTTCATTGTGAACCTCTGATGATCTTCTTTTGACACGTGATGTTCTGCACATCATATTTTTACTTCTACTATAGAGAGTGAAAATACTCTCCTTAAATCCATTCTGTATGACCTCAAGTTGGCTCAAGTCAGTAGGACTAGATTTGGTGATGTTGAGATCAAACTGTATTAATCTTCAGAAGAGCCATGGAATACTGAATTTATGGGATTTGTATCTTTCAGTGCCCCCTGAAAAAGTGGAGAAAGCAATGGATCAGATTGAAAAATACATTATGACTCGACAGTATAAATACGTGTTTTGCCCTGAAACAACTGATGATGAGAAGAAAGATCTTGCTGTCCAAAAGAGAATCAGGTAAGGCTTTAAAGGAAAAGAACTTGAGTAATCCCCAGTCCTGTAGATGAGCTCTGAACCAAACATGTTAAAAACCTGGTGCTGTGCACACAGAAATGGAAAGTTTGTTAACCAGAGAGGGTTAAAAACACTTTATTGGAAACACAGAAGGAAGGAATAGAATGGATAGTAAAAGCTAATGGGAGAACTAATTGGTTTGCTTTTACTAAATTTTAGAAAAAAAAAAAGAAAAGTATTTCTTCTGAAAATAAGTTGCTTCAGTGGAATAAATGAGCTTATGGCTGGCCTTGTGCCTCACTCACACAAAGCACTCCTTGTGCCTGGGGCTCCAGAAGCAGCTGGTTTCAAACACCTGAATGTTACTGGTGCAAAAGAGTTCTAATGTTTTTCTCCTGTCACAGGGCTTTGCACTGGGTAACTCCACAGATGCTGTGTGTTCCTGTCAATGAAGAGATTCCAGAAGTCTCTGATATGGTTGTAAAGGCAATTACAGGTTTGTGAATGGTGAAGTTTATGTTTACAGCTTGAATTTCATCTCTCTTGCTTAGCAAGATTCTTTTCTGCTGCCATGAGAAGAGAGTCCAAGCTGTTAGATTTGCAGAAATCTTTGTACTGTTGGACCAGCGTATCACCTCTGAGACAGGAAGAATTTTTCCACCACAGTAGTGTTTAGGCTTAGATGATCTATTTGAAACACTTGGACTGAACCAAGAGAAGGTTGAGTTTATGGAACAAGCAGCACAGATAGGAATGATGCAATGTTGGGATTGCCCAGTAAGTGTCCTGCTCATTCAGATGTCTGATTAATACCCTTGTAATGATTTGAGAACTCTTTTTACCTTCCAGATATTATTGAGATGGATTCCAAGCGTGTCCCTCGTGATAAGTTAGCGTGCATCACCAGGTGCAGCAAGCACATATTTAATGCTATTAAAATTACAAAAAATGAACCAGCCTCTGCTGATGATTTCCTTCCAACACTCATATACATTGTTCTGAAGGGGAACCCCCCCAGGCTGCAGTCCAACATCCAGTACATAACACGTTTCTGCAACCCAAGCAGGTTAATGACTGGAGAAGATGGATACTATTTCACCAACCTGGTGAGTGCAGGGGTAGTGTGGGTTTTCTACAAGAAGATTGTCTTTTCTTTGGATGTAGGGATTGCCAGTAAAGGGAAGCACAACACAACATGGAAGAAAAATTAAAACTGATCTTGAAATAGTGGTTGAGGTTACTTACAGTGCAGCCAGTTTTGTTGTGTTCTGTCTCCTCTCTCTTCCTTTTCAAACCAGACAGTGCTTTCCTTTCTTTATATTAAACCCTTTATTTGAACAGTCTGATGCTAAGATTTGGGTGTATTTTTATCCTTTATTTTATCAAGGAGATAAGTACTTTCTGTTCCTCAAATCCTGAGTTTGGACTGTGCAGATATATGTGACAGATGCAAAGTTCCCTGTTTGAGCCCATAAGAGTTTCTCTCCTGAAGTGACTGTGTGGAGGTAAACAGGCTTGTTAAAGCTTCTCCAAGAGGCTTTTATGGGTGTGCTCTGTTTCATCATAAGCAATTCTTGAAGGAAAATATGTAGTTGAATGCAACACTTGGAATGTTAAAAGTTCATTTCAGTAGGAGGAGAAACATCCACAAGGTGACATGGGCATTTGGCATTCCTTCCTCCAGGAAATTCATACAGAGCATAGCAGGTCTCTGCTGCTGAGGTTATGAAATACTAATGTGGTGCTCTTGTCTCACTGCTCCTGTTCTCTCACCTCCCAAACACAGTGACCCTGAGTTGTGGAATGCCCATTGCCCAGTGGGTCAGTACTGTTCAGCTGAAGTGGTGTCTTCCATACTGCTCTGAGTTTCATTCCTTCCTCCAGGAAATTCATACAGAGCATAGCAGGTCTCTGCTGCTGAGGTTATGAAATACTAATGTGGTGCTCTTGTCTCACTGCTCCTGTTCTCTCACCTCCCAAACACAGTGACCCTGAGTTGTGGAATGCCCATTGCCCAGTGGGTCAGTACTGTTCAGCTGAAGTGGTGTCTTCCATACTGCTCTGAGTTTTCAGCTTCTCTTTGGGGAGTAAAGAGTGAGATGAACTGTCTGATTATGGTTAGGAAAAGCTCATTAGGAGCAATCTGCTGAGGCATTTAAAAAAACCCTAATCAGCTACTGGATAAGTAGTAAACCAGGTACATTTCAGTCTGTAGCTTGTAGTGATGCTCACTCTCTGTTTTGTTTGCAGTGCTGTGCTGTGGCCTTCATTGAAAAACTGGATGCTCAGTCTTTAAATCTAAGCCAAGAAGATTTTGATCGGTTTATGACGGGTCAGACATCCCCTAAGAAGCAAGAATCTGACAGTTTCTCACCTGATGTGTGCCTGGGGGTGAAGCAGATGTGTAAAAGCTTAGACCTCCTCTCTCAGTTGAATGAGAGACAGGAAAGAATTGTCAGTGAAGCCAAGAAGCTTGAGAAAGACCTAATAGATTGGACTGATGGAATTACAAAGGAAGTTAAAGATATTGTTGAGAAATATCCCTTAGAAATAAAGCCAAAAGGCCAAGCCTTAGCAGCTATTGACTCTGAAAATGTGGAGAATGACAAGCTGCCCCCACCACTGCAGCCTCAGGTCTATGCAGGATAATTCCCAGTGTTGGCTCTGAGAAGCAGCATTATCCTCACCTAGTACTACCTGCTACTTGGGAAGGGAAGGAAATGCAAGGCTAAAATTCAGATGAGCTTAAATCAGTACATTTTTAAAGGTACATTTTTTTTGGTTAAGTGTAATGAATTGTATTTATTTTAGTCAAGTAGATTTCTATTAGGCTTTTGTGGGTTTTTGAACTGAATTTAAATTTTCTACATAAACTGGTGTAATTTTTAAGCAACACTAGTCCATTGACATCTCTCCTGAAAACTTCCTTCTAAGCATGCACTTACTTGGTTTTAATGGTTAGTTTAACTTGAACCCAAGTTCCAGCAGAAACTCAAATGGTACCAATGTTAGTCTGAATTTATTCTGTAGCTGTAAAGATGAAATATATATTGTAAAATATGTAAAAAAAATTGTAAATAGATTTAAAATCTAATGTCCCAACTGTGCATGACAGCTTGTGTGTGTGTGAAAATGATCTAAAAGTGTTCATTTTGGCACCTTCCAGTCACACCATGTTGCAGTAGAAAGGCAAGTACACTGTTAGTGTTTCCATGATGGGAGAAGTGATGAATTGCAGAGGATATTGTAGTGCTTTGAAGACTTGACACTCATCTTAATCTGCTCTGTAAAAAAAAAAAGAAAAAAAAAAGTGTTATTTCCAAGATGACATTTTTCCATGTAAATCTTCTCCCTGTCAGTATACCTGGGAGCCCGGAGTGGTGCTCAGAAGTGCTGATATGACTGTTTGTGAAAAGAATTGGGAGCCAAGCTGCAGAAATAGAAAGAAAAATTTGTATTAAAAATTGCTTAATGTGGGGGGGAAAAAAATGGGGGAGCATGGGAGGAGATAGTACAAGAGTTGCACCAAAATTGGCTTTCTCTTCTGGCATTGCCTGGTCACTTCCATCTGTGGGCAAGGGCTTGGTTGCTTTTTTGACAATCCTGGTAGATAAATAAGTTCATATAATTAGAGGTTGCTTTTTAGGAGAAGCATGAGCAGAAAGTGCACTTTATTTCCATGAACCATCAGTGTTCTGATCTGTAGTGACCCCTTCAGCAAGGGCCTGACCTTGACCATCAAGGTAAATATGGCTTTGTGTCTAAATGTCCCTGTACATTTAGATCAATGTCTTTCAAGAGTAACAGCTCACTCTGCAAAAAAGGAACCTCTTGGATATAACTATTTTTTATGCCAGTGAACCATTTTATATGCCATTTGAAATCCCTTCCAGTCCATGCAGTCTGCCACGACTCGTTTGTGTACCTGAGATATCCAACACGAAGCTACTTAGCCTTGAGCTCCTGCTAAGCAATGTTCAATTCTTCACCATCAAGGAGGAAAGAACCTACCTCTTCGTTCAGTCCCACTGCTCATTTCGATTTGCACTGCAATAATTTCAGACCACGACTGTGATTTGTCCCTTGCAGATGTGTTTAGCCTTATGAACTATGCATCCCTAGTGTTCCACATAACAGTGCCCCAAAAGCCACTGCTGAGGTGCAGCACTGAGCTCATCAAGAAATTAGATTATTCAGTATCTCCACGTCTCACTGAGCCCAAATTGCTTCGGATCTGACCAGTGCTTGCAGTAAACATGACTGTAAAGGCATTAGTTTGTTTCCAGACACTAGGTGCTAATTTTGATATCCAGGTACACAGACTTTCCCGGGGCAGGGAGGGGGAAGGAAACTTTTAGCTATTGTGTAAATGACCATGTTTAAATAAAAGTGTGTACATTATGTCCTTGTTAATGAGTTTCTAAAAACCTCCTCACCGGGTTTTGTTACGCTGTTAATGATTAATGGCAGTATAATCCTGGCTGCTCTGTGATTTGAGAGACAATTCTTGGCCATTCAAGTGCAAGTCTGAGTGACAATGGCTTTTTTTTTACTTTGTAGAAAGGTCATTATAGGGATTAAGAAACAATTTACTGGTAACTAAGGTGTCTCTTACTCATGTGCCATCTTGTTATCAAGCCACTCATGTTTTCAGCAAACAGATCAGGCAGGTAAAATGATTTTCATACCACAGCTCAAAGTCAGCAAGCAGGAGTGGTTTGCTCCTAGTCCTGGTAATCCCTGGGCAGGGCTGGAGCAGAGAGGTGCTCTGGTCCCACCAGTGTGGGTAAATACAGTGAGAGACATTATGAAATTGGATCCATGAGCAAATTACTTGTGAACCAGAGAGTTTAACTGAAATATTCTCCTCCAGCTGGAGTACAGGTGCTGTGCTGACAGTCACAGCATCACTCAAAGCAAAGACTGCAGCTCATTACTGTGGATTGGAACTCACATTGTAAACTACTTTGCCTGTGATCTCCCTGTTTTATTCTGTTTAGTAAAGAAAATATTTTACAGGCAGTGCTGGTTAATTAAACTGTACAACGTCTTGGGTTTCACATAACTGAGTTATGAAATTAAATTGATTCTTCTACCCAGTTATCAATGTTTACAGATTCTCCAGTGTATATTCTCTTGTAGCTGTGTAGGGAGGCACAGACAGATGCTGATCCAGCTGGTGCTGCTGAACGCTGCTTGGAAACAAGGGTTAAGGGGATTGTGGGGAGAAGCAGCAGTTTCCATCTGATCAGAACAGAGCTTGGAGGCTCACACACCCACTAGAGTGGCTGCAACAGGAGGCAAAACAGTTTGATGCTTCATCTGGGCATCCAGTAAGAGATGAATAAATCCTTCTCCTTGATCTGCAGCCACCATCCTTTTGTCACAGGTGTGTACAGAGCTAGTGTACAGGATTACTTTTTGTTACTGTCTAAGAGGCACTGGCACTGCTGCCTCCTGCCTTCCACAGAGCCTGCACTGTCCCCTTTGCCCACCTCTCCTCCATCACCAGGGTGTTTCCCTGGATTTGCTCCAGTGTGTTATACCTCCTGCGTGCAAAACCTGACACTCTGCTCTTGTGAGCATGATCATTAGTGATAATCATTATTAATATGGTTCATTAAGCCCTTTGCTTTAAGGAGTGAACCCTTGACATCTCTAGGTATTGGACACATGAAGAAAATACTAGGAAAAAAGAAAAGAGAAAGGAAGAAAAGGAGAAAAGAAGGGGGAAGAAAGGGAGGAGGAAAGGAAGGGAAAAAGGAGCAAAGGAAGGGAAAAGAAGAAAGGAACAGGAAAAAGAAGAACAAGAAGAAGGGAAGGAAGGAAAGGAAGGGGAAAAGGAGGAAAGGAAGGGGCAAGAGAAGAAAGGAAGGAAAAAGGAAGAACAAAGAAGGAGGAAAGGAAGGAAGAAAGGGAAAAAGGAAGAAGGGAAGGAAGGAAAGGAAGGGGAAAAGGAGGAAAGGAAGGGGCAAGAGAAGAAAGGAAGGAAAAAGGAAGAACAAAGAAGGAGGAAAGGAAGGAAGAAAGGGAAAAAGGAAGAAGGGAAGGAAGGAAAGGAAGGGGAAAAGGAGGAAAGGAAGGGGCAAGAGAAGAAAGGAAGGAAAAAGGAAGAACAAAGAAGGAGGAAAGGAAGGAAGAAAGGGAAAAAGGAAGAAGGGAAGGGAGGAAAGCAAGGGGAAAAGGAAGAAAGGAAGGAGGATAGGAAGGGAAAAAGGAAGAAGGGAAGGGAGGAAAGCAAGGGGAAAAGGAAGAAAGGAAGGGGAAAGGAGGAAAGGAAGGAAAAAAGGAAAAGGGAAGGCAGGAAAGCAAGGGGAAAAGGAAGAAAGGAGGGAGGAAAGGAAGGAAAAAGGAAAAAGGAAGGGAGGAAAGCAAGGGGAAAAGGAAGAAAGGAAGGAGGATAGGAAGGGAAAAAGGAAGAAGGGAAGGGAGGAAAGCAAGGGGAAAAGGAAGAAAGGAAGGGGGAAAGGAGGGAGGAAAGGAAGGAAAAAGGGAAAAGGAAGGGAGGAAAGCAAGGGGAAAAGGAAGAAAGGAAGGGGGAAAGGAGGGAGGAAAGGAAGGAAAAAAGAAGAAAAAAGGGAGAAAAAAAGAACTGCATATCTATGCATGTTCCGGATAGCTTTTAGCTGCACGGAGAGTGGAGGGAAGGATAGAAGAGCCGCGAGGAAAGCAGGAACCCAACCCCGGGGCGAGCTGCACTGCGCCCGTGCTAACAACCTCACCCCATTCCCTTTCCCATTCCCATTCCTTAGGGCGGTACCTCCGCGGCGGCTCCTCCCGCGTTTTTCCGTCAGCGCCACAAGTTTGTCCCTTCTGCGCCA